TCTTCTTGAAGTGTGAATTTTCTCCGTAGGTGTCCCGTTCACTAAAATCGAAATGGAAACAATTGACACACATTGATAAATCCAAGAACATTTATCTCCAAACCCATTTTACTCATTATTTTCTGCAAAATCACCCAATCCACCGAATTATAAGGTCTCTTAAAGTCCACTTTAAAAACTACCCCTTTAATCCTTTTTCCCTCCAAAAATCAATACATTCATTTGCAATAAACGAACAATCCATAATATGTCTCCACGGTATAAATGCAAATTGTTATGGACTTATAACTTCATTAATGCACAAGCTCAACCTTCTAGCTAAGACCTTTGAAAGAATTTTATAAAACCCTCAACGAGACTAATTGGCCTAAAATCTTCTAGCCCCTCTGGATTAACCCTCTTAGGTATAAGAGAATGAAAGAATGATTCACCTCAATGTCCCATTCCTTCCCCTCATAAAACTCCTTAAAAAACAGCAACATAACTTCTTTCAAACTTGGCCAGAATTTCTTAAAGTACCCTAAATTCAGTCCATCAGGTCCAGGTGCTTTGTTGATATCCGAATTAGCAATTGCTTCCCAAATTTCCTCTTCAGTAAATGGCTTCTCAAGGGTCGTACTTTGCTCTTTCGAAAGTTTAAAAACTCCAAATCCAATTCCTCAACCTCTAATGTATTATTTTGGTTAAACAGTCCTTTAAAGAACTCCACCACCGAAGCTTTAATTAAACTAGGATCAGAAGTGATTTCATTGTCCACTTTGAGGGACTTAATACATTTTCTCCTTCCTCTACCTCTAGCACATTGATGAAAGAATCTTGTGTTCTTGTATCCTTCCAAACTCCACTTCAATCTTGACTTATGTAACCAAATCGATTCTTCTTTCTTATACAGGTCCCATAGTTCTTTTTTTGCTTCCACTAATTCTTCATAGCCCCTCCGGATTAACCCTCATAGGTAGAAGGCCTTGTTGCATATCTAATTTCATCTCCTGAATTTCTTTCTCCAACCTACTAATTTTTTAGGGAAGCTCTAGGTAATCCTTCCTAGACCATCTCTTTACCGCTTCCTTCACCCCTTTTAACACACTGGAGATTGGTTTTTTCTTCTCTACTTTACATAATTTAATCAACTCCTCCATCATCTCACCAAACCCATCCTCCTACATGACATAGTTAAACATCTTGAATGGTTTAGGACCCCAATTCCATCCCTTATTTTCCAGCAAAATCATATTATGATCCGAAACAGACCTTGCTTACAGGCTTTGGCTTATCATGGGAAAAAATGATAAAAATCTCTGATCCACTAGAATCAACTACTTTAATAGAAGACGTTAGAATTCTCTTAAACTATTTGAGTACATTTATAATACTTCTTTATAACACGTGCAATGAATAGAAGCTGAAGATATACAAAGAATTGATAGTGGCTGTGGTAGAAAGGCAGTTCAAAGAGAGAGAAATCACACTTAAACACCATCAAACTAAAGCTGCAAAACAAACATCCTAAATGAAATTAGTCTTCATGTACTGGTTATGTCCTGGAAAACCTGAAGCCGATTCCTCCTCGATGAAACAGTGCTTGGTGAGGCATTGTATCCGCCCGTCATACCAGCTGATTGAGTTATACTCTCAATATGATGCTTAGAATGAACAGCATACTGATAAATTATGTTGGAATTCAGATTTTCATCACCGAACTTATCATCATCCTTATTAAACCCATCATCAGAGCTCTTCCCCAAATATTTTCTTCCACATTGAAATTCTTCCTTCTCATCTTCTTCAACCATGTCTGCCCAGGTTTTCTTATTTGGTGCAGCATTTGCCTGTTTTTCCAGTTCGATTTCTGGTTCATCTTTAGAAGAAACAGATGGCTCTACATTAAGACTTTGCACTGGATGAGTAGTCACACCATTTGATTGCTTACTAAATGAATAGTCAATGGATTCTTCAGCCGATTTTCTCCTTCTTTGATCTCTATTATTTAGCCACGATGAAGAGTTTCTTGGCTGAGTGAATAAGCCTTCCTGAGCCTCCTCTCCCTCCTCTTGGCCAACTGCAGAGTTTTTGGGCTTCACATTACTTGAAGAAGGTGGTTCTTCTTTAAGATTCTGGATTGAAGTTGAAGGCACACTTTCAGTGGTTACAGTTTGCTCAAAACATAGCTTTCGAATTGAATTTCTAACCGTATCTTCTCCCCATCTTCCACCTCTCCTCTGATCTGGAGTGTTGAAACCCCAATAACATCGTCTTGGTTGGGTTAACAAAACTTCTGAGTTCTTCCTACAGCTTTCCTTCAGCTTGACCCTTCATTCGGTCGTTCAAAATACAATCCTTTTCTCCACCTCTCAGTGAGCATGGTTTGTGGACTAGTGCAAACTACCTTTCGGTCCAATTGGTGTGCATGTGAACTTGTGTCATTATATCCACGGTATGATTCACTGTTTTGCTCATCTGCATGAGGCAGTCTTCTCTTGTCCATACACCAAGGTATATTGTCTTCATTTTTGGGAAGGAAAACGCTAGCTTCCTTCAAAGTTCTGTCCCTGTGTGATGTTCGAGTTTCTTTCCCTTTATCCTGTTCCTGTGCCACGGACGGCTCTAACTGACTGCGACTCTACTTGCGCCAGCATTTCCATTGCACGTTCATACGATTTCAGGTAGGATTCATCCATCTCTTCGGTTCCAGCTGAAGCTTTAACATCTTGAAGCAGTGACTTTGCTTCACTGATCCTATTCATGTGCATCAAGCATATTGCCAGGTTGCATTGCTTATTCTTATCTGACTCCAGAGATAGAGCTTTTCTGTGATGACACAAAATCAATGTCAAATATTTATATACTCACACATGTATATACCTTTAGGGAATATAAACATACAATAGCATACCTGTAATGTTGTTCAGCAATTCCATAATTATGTTGCTGGAGATATGCCCAGGCCAGATTCCCTAGTATCCTAAAACATATACAAATTTGCAGAAACTATTTTTTTCTTTTTGAAATAATTTACAGAAATTATAAGATTAAAGAATAACAACAAATAAAGAGTATGAATGCAACCTTGATTTCTCTTGTTCAATAGTAATTTGAATCTTCTTCCCTTGAGATCTTGCAATCTTTGTCTTCTTCCCACCGAAAACGGTTCCTTCCTCGCTGTTCCTCAGTTTGTTCTGAAGGATTTCAATCTCTTCATCAACTCTTCCAGACCTCTGCAACAGCAAACGGTTTCATTCTTAAAAATGTTTAGGGAAAAGATTTGCATTTACTCATGTCTTCCAGACCTCTGCAACAGCAAACGGTTTCATTCTTAAAAATGTTTAGGGAAAAGATTTGCATTTACTCATGAGCTCCTAAGCTTCATTACTGTGCTAGAACTAAACTAGACTCATCTGAACTCAATAATAACAGGTGAATGAAAACTAAACTTTAATAGAAACAAATGAACATTTAATTTAAAGATAAAGATTGGTATCGTACCTTGTAGAGTTCAATAAGGACATTATCAAGAGACTCCTGAGAATAATGAGGACAAATAAGGCGGAAAGATTTCAATGCACTATCAACACGACAGCCATGTCTTTCAAATAAGGCGGACAAATAAGAGTTCAATAAGGACATTATCAATAGCCTCATCAGTTCTATTCAGTTGTTTCATTACGACAGCCATGTCTTTCAATGCACTATCAACACGATCTCCAGCATTAATGGCTGCCCAGAACATGGAAACGGCCTTATTTGGGTCCTTGTCTATCAACTGCGAATCCATAACCAAAATATAAATGTAAAGTAAGTTCACACTGAACTCTAAAGTCTAAACTAATAACGAAATACAGCAAGTTCACATGCAATTCGGATTTCCAGGAACCCAAACCCTGTATAAGGCCAATGGGGGGATGAAATAAACGAGGGAAGAAGAAAAAAAACAAGAAACTTTAGGAGTTAATCCATGCAAAAGAACCAATAATCAAGAAAATACCAAGGAAACAATATGAAGAAAATTGGAACGTAAAATTGTTTGTAACTAACCTGAACGTGCTTTGCCCTGCCATAAGGAGAATCGGAAGCTGGCACTTTATGAATGACATGAAAGTCTCCATTATTTTCCGGCGAAATCCTTTTCCTCTCTGACAATGGCAAGACGGTGGTGAACTGCGTTTTCTTCCATGCAGGGGGCTGTGGGGTCAAGAAACCCCTCCCTGATAAGTTTTTGTCGCTTGACCACATCGTTTCTCTGTTTTTCTCAGCAAAATCCCCAAGCCCTTTTCAAGATTGTCCAAGAAAGTGTTTCTATCAGTCGAAAAGAAGAATTTTCGATGGATATACTAATACTACAACTATTACTACCCTAAATAAAGGAAAACAGTCTTTATAAATTTAGACAAAGGCTGTTGAGTTTCTCTTCAATTCTCTCTTGCGATGTGATTTAGGGAGGGAAAGTCACTTTATCTCAGAATTCTGTTTGCACTTTGATAAAAAAAACATGAAGAAAGATTCCGGTAAACAATGAGAAACTGAAAGAAAATTGAAAGAGAAAGTGTGAAGACGATGATGATTATTACGGGAGGAGATATGGGATGACAATAAAAAAAGTAGTAGCCGTTGGGTTTTTACTGTGCCTTTTTTTTGTAACTTATTGTTTTCTATAACAAAAATATTTTTCTCTTTAGAATTTCTATCCCAAATTGTTTTTTTTAATTAGAATTGTTAAGTTGGTGCACCTAGCAACATATTTTAATTTTTTTATAAACATGACATTTTAATAGATTGTCCATGTTAATGAAAATACTACAACTAGAAAATATTGATTAGAAATATGTGAAAACATAACCTAATATGGAAAGAAATCTAAGTTATAAAATATGATAGATTTTAGTAAGTTTAAAGATGATTTTATAATAATTTGATAAATTTAATGATCATTTGTAACAATTTGACAAGTATATGAATATATGACATTATTTTCACGAAACAAAACAAAAACATGCATGCACATGTTACACAAGTAAAGCCATTTAAAAACTGAACATTACCATGACTAAATCATTTTACTGCATGCTTAGTAAGCATCTTACACGAGGAAAGTGTTGAAGTTCAATACAACAAAAACAGAGAATTTTCAGCCACTAGTAGTTTTATATTGTAAAGGAATACAATTACCAGCTCTTCAACCGTTCAGACCCACCTATAGCTCTTGGTTCGGATGTAAACAAGAGTTTCCATCCAACTGCCTATTTTCAGTTTCTCTCTCTTCCAAATCCCTCAAGGCTCGACTGCTTGAGAACGAATTGCCCGTGGGGTTGGCCCCAATCCATGCTTGATGAAGTTGCAACACGTATTCCAAGTGCCATAGAACTTCCCCCATAGTAGGTCGGTTCTTCCCCTCGTCTGCAAGACATTTTTCTGCTATCTCTCCAAACTTCTCCATCGATTCCGGAGAATATTTTCCCTTCAGATGTGGGTCGATAATGGTGTCAAGCAACCTTTGTCTCTGCCATCTCATTGCCCACTCTGCAAGATTTATCTGATCTTTTGGCAAGCTCGGATTTATAACAGCACGGGCACAAACAACTTCGAACAGCACCACACCAAAAGAGTAGACATCAGATTTCTCAGTCAACTGCTGCCTGCGAAAATACTCAGGGTCGAGGTATCCAAAGCTCCCCTTCACTGCAGTACTAACATGAGTATGCTCCATAGAAGGACCAGTTTTTGACAGCCCAAAATCTGACATTTTAGCCACAAAATTTTCATCCAACAAAATGTTGGTTGTTTTAACATCCCTGTGAATAATTCCCCGCTCTGCTCCTGTGTGAAGGTAGTGCAGTCCACGGGCAGCACCAATGCATGCTTCTAATCGCTGCTTCCAAGTCAACGGTGGGACATCACTTCCAAACAGATGACTTCTAAGAGTTCCATTTGCCATGTATTCATAGACCAAGATCATCTCATTTTGTTCGTCACAGAATCCAATCATGGAGACCAAGTGCCTATGTCTAAGCTTTGAGAGCATCTCAATCTCAGTATGAAATTCAGCAAGCCCTTGCTCGGATTGTGGATTTGCCCGCTTTATGGCTGCAAGAGTGCCATCTTCGACCTCCCCTTTAAATACCTTGCCAAAGCCCCCTACGCCAATCACTAAACTTTCATCAAAATTATTAGTTGCTGCCCGAATCTCAGCAAGTGTAAATTGCTTGCCAACACCAGTGGAGGTCATAGATCCATTTGGGTTTAGAAATCTAGATGATCGCTTGGCATTAGAAGAGCTATTTAAAACAGAACCATGAAGGAATAATGGTCGCCACCCAGGAGTGTTGTTTTTTGTGTCACCTGATTCTTTTCCTTGTTTTTTGCAGAAATATATTATACGGATAACAGCAACTGCAAGAATGACAACACTGGCTACACCAGCAGCAATTCCCACCCAGAGAACCCAGAACTTTGAAGGATGATTTGAACTCCCAGTTGAATCATATCTCTGCACATGCGCAAGGTTTCCATTTCGACTAAGCTTGAAAATCTCCAGCCCATTCAAGAGAGCATCAGTGCCTGAAGCACCAGCTGCTGTGTCAGGGCCGAGTTGAATCCAGAGGGTATTGATTTGTGAAGAAACTGCATCAAAGTAATCCTGATGATAAGCTTATTCATTCCACCTGCCTTCACAAAAGGTCATAATTATTTGCTGCAGTCCGGTTATTTATGTAGATTCTGAAAATCCTCAGGTTTGGCTTATCAAAAACCAGCTCGCAGAAGTGTAACCGTATTAAGTAATCAAAACCAGGATCCACTTCAAACCTCCATGACATATTGAATCTTTTCTCCAAGACTTGGTTGTTAGACATGCTTCTTGCTGTTTCATACACAAGAAGAGGAGCCACTGAAGAATCATTTGCAGAAGCATAGGTAACATTAGAACTGTTATGCATTTCGGAACCTGCATTTGCTGTGATCATAAAGCCAGAATCCACTTCCCACGCTCTCCAATAATTGGAATCCTCAGTCGGATTAATCTCCGGACCCCCGACATTCAACCTATACATAGTTTCAATTCCCCTTCCACTTAGATTCAGATTTGCATCTTTTCCACCCACTTTACTGACTGAATCTGCAAAAAGTTTATTGGTCAAAGGGATAATCTCTATGGCATTAATGAAACCAAATGATCCTTTTTTTGGGGTGAACTCGATCACAAGTGTATTTGAATTGACAGGTAAAATATACTCTTTAACCAAAGAGAAGAAGCTGGAATTGCTTCCTGGACTTTGGAGGTACAAATTCTTGTGTGCAATCTCGCCAACAACATTGAACTGTGCCAAGAGTTTCAGACCATTTGCCACAACATCGAAAGAAGATTCATTTACGTTGTGATCCTCAAAGGAAAAGGACAGAAATGAAGTCTCAAGAAATAGTTCCCTAGAATGCCATTAAACGTGTAGTTCAGGTCATCACTGAAAAGTCGGGCAGATTTATAGAGTGTCGCAAAGATTGAATCACCACTTAGTGTAGAAGTAGAGGAAACAACACCAGGAGAACTAAGGGTGAGATTGTTATCAGGAGTCAAATCACCAACCCATTTTCTACCATCCACATTCAAACTAGAATCTGTACCACAATTTATCAGAAAAGACTTCACCTGAGCTTCTCCACTTCTAAAAACTGCAGATAGTACAAGAAGGAGGAGCAAAGACAATAACTGCCAGCCTTGGACCTTCCCCATTACCACACTCCCTCAAGAAATTAAACCCCTTGTTCTCTATCTCTCTCTTATGTTTCTCTATCTCTCTCTTATGTTATGAAGAATAGCATGAACAAACCCAAGCTAATAAAAGAAACGAGTCACAAAGATTTTCCCTTTTTCCTCAAGCCTTAGACGAATAGGAAGTAATTCATCTACAAAATGTAATAAGACAAACAGCGAGGTTTATATGTCAGCAAGCAACTTCAACAACATGCATTCCCCTGTTGGAGTAAGAAATAGCAATTTACCTCAAGGATCCAATCTGGGTATTTGAGTTTTCCCCTTGAGAACCCCCCAAAGCAGCAAAAAACCCAGCCTGAAATTTTCCCTTGGAAAAGAAACTTTCTTGGCTAACTGAAAAAGACCAGATCTAAATCAAGCTGAGCTGGAAATCAAAAGAAAAGGAGTCAAAAACTAAGTGAAAGAACACAATGGGTTGCAATGGAACTATGATTGGTAGAAAGATACCAGATCAGGTGAGCAGGAAGACTATGCCAGAAATGTTTACAAATAATTAATTAAATGAAGAAAATAGTAATAAAAAAGTGATAAGGTTATCTGAATAAGAAACTAGAACATGGGGTGTTGCCGAAACAGATTGGAAAAGTTCGCTTCATCTAACCTTTGTTTGCTCAATAGAGACAAGAATCTGACATAATTAAATCTGCCATTTATTTTTTATATTCTATTAATTAAAATTCAATAATCATCTCTTTTTTCTAATTCTTACTGTTGGTTCTTGCTTTTACAATGCATGCAAATATGCAATCCAAGATTGTAAATGAATAGTTACTGAAAATAATAGGTGAAACAAATATAAATTATAATAAAATAATATAAAAATTATAAAAGTATTATAAAATCAGAAATAAGTTTTTAACATTTAACATTTAAAAAGGAAAAAATTAATAACGTTCACCAAAAATATATTTAAAAAAAATCTGAAACAATTACGCTAACGAATTTTGAATCGAGGAGATCTAAGAAAATTGCAGTTTCTAAAAGCAAATAAGGGGAAGAACAATACGGACGTTGAGATCACTGATAGCGAGACCGGTGATAAGGAGGCCAAGTGTCGTAGCTTCCGCGAGGACAACGTTGACCACCGTTCCGTCTCGCCGCCACACGAGACTTCGAGTCTCTCGTAACTGACGCGCCCCAGGTCCCGCGGGGATGTTAGTCCCTTTGTCGAATTTTAACTCCCTCCAAGCCTTTGTATTCCTCTTCTCGTGTTTTAATAATGTTTTAAGGTCAACATCATTTTCATAAGTTATTTTCTTAATATTTAAAATTAGTTTTTTAAATAAATTTAATAATAAAAGAAAGTATTTTTTTGAAAAAAAATTCAATCTTATAAGAGTCTTTATTAATTTTTTGAAAAAAATTCATTCTCATATATATAGTTTTTAAAATTACTAAAAACATTCTTCTTTCTCTACTACAGTATTGTGTTCCCTCTCCTCTATATATAATTAATATTAAATCTATATTTTATCCCAAAAAATCTAAAAATATATTAACTTATATCACACTCCAATTTAATTTTAAAAACAGGTGAAATATTTTTTTTAATAAAAAAGTTAAAATATTCTAATTCATTAGTTAAAAAGTAATTGATTTAAGATTTAATTAATATTTTAACCGTATAAAGCTAATAATGTATATGAAATGTTGGACGGAAGCAAAGAGATGCTCATAGAGTCCTAGTGCTCATACTGATTTTCTTTTACGGGAAAGATGATGGATTCTTTTAAAAATGTTTATCCTGAATTTTAAAACCATTTTCCTATATCAATTGAAACAACAAAGTGATAAATTTCATTATTTAATTTATTTAAAAATAAACTTAATTATTTTTTGTGAAATTGATCGTTTTGATTTTATATTGTAGTTTACTTTTTTATTGTATTGTAAAATATTATGATAGATACAATAATATTTAAAAGGTTTATTTAAGAAATAAATATTTAAAATTTTATTTCAAATCACATCTGACATCTGTTAAACAGTAAATATTTAAAGTTTGAAAAACAGATATCTATAGTTTTTTAACTAAATTTTTATTTTGATCAAATAAAACTTTAAATATTTAAAAATAAAATATATAATTTAAATATTTATTTTTAATTAAACTTGAATAAAATTATATAACCTAGAATAAACGATGACGATACGGAACAAGTGGAGACTTCTATTTCAGAATTCCAAAAATTACCCTATTTTCCGTACAATTATTGCAACAGCTGTAATTATTACATAGGTTCCTTTTTCACTCTTTCGTACCGCAAAGTACCAGTCCTGCTCTCTTTGTGAGTTTTTCAATATTCGTGATTTTCCTAAAAAAAAACACACACACACACATTTTTCTTTTATATTTTATTCTGGACACTCATTTAAATATATTTTTTGATCTAACATATTTTATAGAAAGATACACCCATACACCGCACCTTAGGATGTCACCGTGTAAAAATCAGATATTAATTTTGTAATTTTTTTAAAATAATGCCTAATATGTAAATATTTTTTGTTTGGATGATTTTTATATAAAAACATCATTTTTTTATTTTTTATTTTCGTAAAAAAAGCTTTCTAAATTAAAATTTTAAATATTTTTTTATAAATTATTTTATAAATTGACAAATTTTAAATTTTGCATGAAATTACACAATACATATAATCTAGTATATAAAAACTTTGAAAGTAAGTAATTTAAAATATAAATAATTTTATAAAAGCTTTATAACTAGTATTTTTTTTACAAGATGATGATGATGATAATGATAACAATAAGAAATAATTTAAAATTTAAAATTAATAAATTTCATATATTTTTGAAAATTTTATTGGTTTTAAATTTAATTGTTTAAAAATATAAAAATATTAAAATAAACTTTTAATTACAATTACGGGATCAGATGAATTATTATCTACTATTTATTATTTTTTAACAACCCTTAATAATGTTTATACATTTTTAATAATGAATGAATAATAATTCATTTGATCTCACAATTGTAATTAAAAGTTTATTTGATCCTGTAGTTTTAATTAAAAGTTTATTTGATCTCGCAATTCTAATTTTATTACAAATGAATAAATATTATTAATTATTGTTAAAAAATAATAATTAATGAATAATAATTCATTTGATCTCACACTTGTAATTAAAGTTTATTTTAATATTTTTATATTTTAAAAAATTAATTTTAAAAATCAATATTTTTTCAAAAATATATGAAATCTATAATTTGTTAAATTATAAAATATTTCTTATTGTTATCATCATCATCATTATCATTTTGTAAAAGAAATACTAGTTATAAAACTTTTATAAAATTAATCATATTTTAAATTACTTACCCTCAAAGTTTTTCTATACTAGATTATACGTATTGTGTAATTTCATGCAAAAATCAAAATTTGTTAAGTTATAAAATCATTTGAAAAAAAATATTTAAAGATTTTAATACATAAAGTTTTTTTACACACACAAAATAAATTAAAAAATTGACGTTTTTACACAAAAATCACCCTAATAAAAATATTTACATATTAGACACTATTTTAAAAAAATTATAGAACTAGCACCTAATTTTTATACGGTGCATAAGGCACGATGCATGGATCACGTCTTTCAACACGTGATGTAATAAAAGGGTGTTAGATCAAGAAATATATCTGATAGGGTGTCTGATAGGAAAATATAAAAGGAAAAGGTGATTTTTAGGGAAAATCAACTCCAATATTATCCATATTAATATTTTTTTATGAAATAACACATTAATATTAAATGAGTTAATTGTTAATATTTTAGTTGATAAGAAATTAGTTTTTTTATTAATAATTAATTGACATAATGAGTTAAACAATAATTTTTTTAAATAAGGTAAGAATTATGAATTGTAACATAATAGTGTGAGAGAATAATAATGTAGTACATGTTTAGAATTTTATTATTCTATTGATAACGTACATATATTCTACAAATGCAGTTACTTAAATTCAAGATTTCTAAATAATTTATTATAAAATAATTTTTGTTGAGAACTTTATTATTATACCAACAACACATATCATCAGGTATAACTATTTAAATACAAGAACTTTAAATAGAATAATATTTTTTATCATTAAATTATTTAATAATTTTATTTTATATGTTTGAAATAAATAATATATACATGTTGAATACATTTTGATATTTCGATATAACAAATTAAGTTAAATGAATTTTAAGATTTTCCAAAAAGATTTTCTAAGTATATTCGATATAATTATTCGAATATCAAAATATTATTCCAAATCTTTCAAATGTCATTTTTAATCCTTACTCAAGTGTAAAATTAAATTTTAGTCTTAAAATAATTTCAAAACAATTTTACAAAATATTTCGAAACATTTCAAAGCCAAAATTTCCAGATTGCTCAGAGGGAATCGATTCCCCCTGAATGTTTTGGCTCCGAGAATTTCAGTATGCTCGGAGGGAACCGATTCCCCCCACTGTTCAACAATCAAAATATTTGAATTTTATACTTAGGGAACCGATTCCCCTCACTCTCCAAGCAGAAATATTAATTGTTTTCACACTTAAACGGCTCCAAAAACTTCATTAATGATCCCCAACGTTCAGAAGTGATTAAAGGTGTATTTAAGCAAGCTTAGAAGCCATTGATCAACAACAAGAAACATCAAGCAACTAGAATCAAGAGAGAATCAAAGAGAAAGCATCAAACCTCAAGTTTAAGCATTTCAAGCCTATTTTTCACTCATTATTCATTTTGCTTTCAAGAACACTTATTGTGCTCAATTGTATTCATTCTTGAGTGTTCTTTTCTTTGTTATAGAATTGTGCAAACAATCTACCTTGTGAGGATTTCCTTGTAAGTTTGCAAATTTGTATTGTTCTCTTTGGGAGAGAGTGTTCTCAAGAATTTAGGGTATAATTCTTGAGGGTTTGTAAGGTTACTCTTTGTCCTCAAAAGAAAGACAAATTAGTGAATTTGTGAAAAATCCTTAGTGTGGATAGCTAAGGTAGTGGACGTAGACTTTGGTTGAGAAAGTCGAACCATACTATATCGCTGTGCAAATTTCTTTCAATTTTCTGCAAAAGCTTCCACCAAAATTTTAATTGCCAATTCACCCCCCTCTTGGCCATATTCATCAATCGATTAACTCAACAATTGGCATCAGAGCCTAACTCATTTGAAGGTTTAATCACCTCTTGAGTCGATTCGGGAAGAGTTACATCGATAATCAAAGTCATCAATGGCCTCTACTTCAAACTTCGACTCCGGTCTAGATTCGATGCCCGTCAATAAGCCTTCTTTCTTCAATGGGGCTAACTATGCCTATTGGAAAAATAGGATGATGTACTTCATTCAAGCAAGTGACATGGGAGCATGGAATGTCATAGAAGAAGGATACATCAGCCTCTCACTCATCCAAGATTGTGGAGTGAAGGAGAGACAAAAATGTTCCTGCTCAACTCCAAAGCCATACATATCATATTTTGTGCTCTTGGACCAGATGAATACGGAAGAGTTTCATCTTGTACAACCGCCAAAGAAATATGGGACAAACTTCAAGTCAATCATGAAGGTACCGATGAGGTAAAGAAATCTAAAATTAGTATTCTAAT